ATTACACAAGTGGACTCATAAAAGAGTTATCTGATGCTGACAAGAGTGGATCCAGGAACAGCAGACTGCATGAATGCAGTTAAAAAAGTTATCCACAATACCTTCATATACACAAGTGGTGTTTAGTGGTTTGCCGAGGACTAAAGTCTAATGTTGATACCTCGTAATACATGAAATGAGCTATCTTTGATGCTTGGTTTGTGTCTGTCAGGAACAAGTACATGTCTGGCAACACATCTGAGATCACTGTATGTGTATTTTGTAAACAGACTGCATCCAATGTGGTCACTATTTATTTGTGGGGCTAGTTTATGTTGGACAACAATGATACAATACCTCATTGATACAGGTGATGCTTGTCTGATTAAATAAACCATTTTGCAGGCCTTTCCTAAAGCACTAGGAATGTTTGCAGCACCAGAGTACAGCAGATGTTAAAGGGCAAGATTATACAACTTTCAAAGAGTGCTTGTTCATTTCCAGCTGTGGTTGTCAGAAAGAAAACAGGTACAACCTGTGTTGATTTTAGGCTAGTGATTGTAGTAATTTACATTGTGCCTTTCCTTTATGAGAACAGATATATCTGGACACATTGGAAGGTTTCTGAAATGATACCTCACCTTCTGGCATGTGAGCTCTAGAGGAGCATTTGCTCCACATCAACATATTTAATTTTTTTGCAGTTCATTAGGCATGTTCCCATTTTCTCCCTCTTTTTCTGAATTGGTTGGTCTTGATTCATTCTGACAATTCCCTGATAATTCTTCATATCAACTGTCAGGGGTGTATCCATTCCAGCACTCTCTGCTACCGTGCATTGGACTTCCTATTTTGGGCTCATTCCAATTGAGCTTGTCATGTTTTGGAAACTCTGAACATTGTGGCAAATTGCTTCTCTCAGCCAATATGCATTCTATTCACATGGTGGTCTCTCCACCCTCAGAGTGTTTCTTAGGTTTGCTCTCAGTGGAGCATGTTCCCCATTGAGGCCTTTGTCACTCCTCTCAACACCAAGCTTCCACTTTCATGGTCCTCAGTTCCTCATCCTTTGGATCTAGTGGTCAATTCTGTCAGCCAGGGCTGGCTTAACCTTTTTCTTTATGCCTATCCTCCTCTTTGTCTCCTCACCTTGATATGCAACACTCTTTGTTGGGTTCTGTTAATGGCAACTCTTTGTTCTGCACAACCCTTATTTCTTCTGCTTTGCCATTGGTGTCCAGGCACCCTCTTCCACTACCTTTTCCCCCTTCTCTCTTTGCTTCAACCTCACATGTCTCTTCACTCAGGGGTGTCATCCCTTCATCTTCACGTGTGGTATTTGTCCAGGGCCAGACCTTCTGATTATGTAGCTTTCTTATCCTATTCCTGTCATTCTTCAACTTTGTCCATTTATCAACAAGCATGACAAATTTTTCAACATTGGTCCATCTTTGACTTTCCTTTCAGCTTTTTTCACATGGTTGCTTGACCAGGAATTATTGGTTATGGGGCAGCTTTGTCAACTACATTTTGTCTTTCCTATTACCACCTGGTGTTTCCTTCTCATGTTCTCTTCACTTTGTTCTGATCCTTCCTTCTTCAACAATCCTCTCATCAGACTCACATGTCTGACTTAGATCTTTGTGTAGTTTTACACAATTTCATACATGCCTATTTGAGCTGTTAGCTTCTTGTTCTTTATACCACCTTTCTCTGAAGACTATACTTCCTTCTCCTTCTCGCATGTGGTTGCAGTCATTTGGATTGATATGCCATCAATGCTACCCACACTCTTTCCCCATACTTATTTACTTCTTTACTAAGACCAGACCTTTCCCAACATATTGACTGTTTGGGAAGGTGTTCACTCTTTCTCCCCCGGCTTCCCTACTTTCTATCTCTCACCCCTATGCTTGTTTGTTCCCATATCTTCTCCTGTGTCTGGTTCAGTCTGTGCATTGTTATTTGGCACAAAATTCTCCTTTTCAGGGTTCCCACATTGTTTGATTCTGCCTTGGGACCCTTCTTCATCCAGGGACCTATCACCTCATACCCTAACTGGATAAGTTCACCAACTCCTTCAGTTGGTGTATTTGTGTATTATTTCCTAAATATTGATGCTCACAGGCTTTTTTGACAACCCTTGGACAAGATCCTTCAGGCTGGCATGTGAATGAACCTGCAGAAGCAGCACATGTTCATCTCCCATTATCTTCTTCATCTGGCTGTTTCTTCTCCAGTAGAATTTTGACTTACTCTGGTCACTTTTGTCAATCTACACACTGTCTTTGAGATTTTCATTATCCTTTTCCCTCTTATAGGATCCCCAGGTTCCTGTTGCATGCCAGGGTACACTTATTTCACAAAATCTGCATTAGACCAGTGGTAACAAAAAAGTACTCAGCCCATCTGCCCTGGCTCTACCAGTGCTCAATGTCAGGATGGGGTGTTCTGCACATCTTTGGGTCTCTCCAATATGAATTCTTCTGTTTTTCAAATGGAGCACAGAAGACTATTGCTATGTACCAGTTTCTAGCTGCTGGGGTGGTGGACCTTGGAGAGTTCCTCACTAATTGTGTACAGCACAATACAGTGGGAAATAGGGTGGTGTTGGCACTGCCTGTGTAATGTGCATCACACCTCTAACAACTAGGGTGCCCTCCTCTTGTCTCTATGCAGGTGAAGAGTATACCCTGGTAAAGATTAGGTACAGTCTCCCACTGGTTTGCCCTATGGATCTCCTGCCATTGGATGTCACACTCTATGGGCTTTCTGAAGGGAGGTCATCTAGATTTAATGTTTACACCAGCCCCACTACCATTTCAGTGAGCAATTGTAGCTGAACTTTGTGCGAGATGAAGTATTTTCTTGAAATTTCCAATAGATACACACCTTCCTACTCATCCTCCCCATTTCTGGTGTACTTTCTTCTTGCCTCCTCTAAGAATGAACCTATTTCAGGCACAAGTGCTTAAGGGGAGTTATTGGTTACTGCACAAGTAGTTTGTGACACCCTCCTGTTAGTCATCATGCACATTAAACATGTGAGTTTTTGGTGAGAGTTAGCTCAAGACTAATGGCATGCAAGTCTCCTGGGCAGATGTGGGAGGGATGAAGTTATTCTGTGTGGTTTTGAGTATCTATCAGAAATACATTTTTAGATAAGGAAAATGTTAACTCTTGTTGGTTCAGCAATTTAGATTTGACATCTGTATACTGGAAATTCAAACTGGATGATGAGAGTACATTACATCTAAGACTGTTTTTAGTATGAGAGATGGCTTGCTGGGAATTTTTGTCATGCCATTTGGCCTTTGTAACTTGCCTGTCACTTTGAGAGGTTATTGAAGCTTAACTGAAAGAGCTGCAATGGGAGAAGTGCCTGATTTGTGTCAACAGTGTCTTAGTGTGTGGTCACAAATTTAAAGCTTTGGCTGGAAATCTCAAAATGATAATCCATTAGATAAAAAAGGCAGGCTTGAAACTGAAACAAGGAAAATGAGTGCACATGCTCATGAAAGTTGAACTTCTTGGGAATACTGTTGGTAGGAATGGAGTCTTCACAGATCATGCTATGATATCAATGGTGAGAGTCTGTCCTCAAGTCCTAACCAAGTGAGAAGTCCACAGTTTCCTTGCTTTTTTTTATTGTTATACCAGTGACTTAATGCCTCTTTTTTCCAATGTTACTGGCTTATCTAAGACAAGAATTTGAATTATTGTTAGATACTGATGCCATTGATAGTGGAATTGGAGCAGTGTGATCATTGTTGAAGGATGAAGTGGACCTTGTAGTGTATCAATCATTCTTTCAGCTCTTGAATGTAGATACTGCATGATGAAGAAATATTTATTGAAAAGTTTAGTCTTCCTGAAACACTATTGACACTGTTTGTATGGTAGAAAATTCATTACTGGAATTGCCATGCATTTATGAAATAGTCGATGAGCTTTAAAAATCTGGAAGGAATTATTATCTACTGGATAACAGCATTGCAGGAGTATGATTTGTGATACAGCAATGTCCAGGCCTACAACATGGAAATGCAGATGAATTTTCTTAATGTATGGAGAGACCATGTCCATTCATTGAATGTTCTCACCCTGGAAACCATGTGGGAGTCAAAATAATTTTTTCCATGAGAAACTAGTAGACAGAAACAGGATTCACAAAATAAAACATTGATTAAACTTTAAAAGATATTTTGATACATAACATTTATAATCTTAACATTGGAAATTAATTATTTACTTCCTGTTATTAATGGAATTTTATAAAGCTCCGAATAAGCAAAAGAACTCTTCTTGCTACATAGCTAGATTTTCGTAACTAATAAAACATTGCTAACAGTATAACCGAACCTTGGTCTGTGGTGAAGGAATGCTTCTTACCATTAGTGATGGTAGGCAAGCCATAGTTCTTGGTGGCCTCTCTCTAGCTAAATACTAATTTTTTTTCAACAATTTTTTACTACTGCAAGCATTATTAGTCATTATATATTAAGCTTATTTCTTTATTTCACGTGTAGTTTAGGCATATTTTCTTATCCTGAAAGTACTTATTGTATACTGTTCAGCTTTTTTTGAGCATACAAAAACATAGTGTGAATTTTTATTTATTTATTAACTTAGGAAACTTCATTGTTTACCTTACATATGATATATGAGTGTATTTCAGTTATTATAGTTGTGGACATAAAACTTTAAGACTGCTTATTTAGTTATATTGAGTATGTTGTAGCATTTAATATGTGGACATCAAAACTATAATTGTGAACTTGGGTTGCATCAGGTATGTTGGCATGTTTAAAATTGAAGAATTGGATGTCCCATAACAGCTACAATGTGCATGATATATGATTTGAGAATGAATCACAGGTAGATAATATATGCAATATTAGAATATTTAATTACATTGCTCAAATACAAAATTTGACAGTATGAAATTTTATGATACCTCGCATGCATATGTCTGTTATGCCTGTAAAATAAAAATGTTATTAATTTTGTGACTCTTCTAGCAAAATGGAGGAATCTCCAAAAGCTGCAGTTATTTGTGAAATCAAAGATAAAAGTAATGAAGAAAAACTAATGGGATCAAATTCTGAACTTCAAGCAGTTGAAAATGTGGACAAAGAGCAAACTGTTGGCAACACAAAAGAAACAAGTTCTTCATATGAAGGAAATGTGCAAAATGACAGTGCATCTAGCCAGTATCGATATATTCAGTGTGGATTCACCTCAGAAGTGTATAAAATTGAAGTTGGCAATTTGCCTCAGTTTGTACATTATGGAGTAAGTGAAATAACATTTATACTTACGTGAATATTTAAATACATTAAACTTTCCTTTTAATGTTGACAGTTTTGTACATGATAGTAAATACATGTATTCCTTATTGTTTTTTATGCTCTGTTAAGTTTTATTTCATGTTTCATATTAGAAATTTTATGAATGTATGTTTTCCTTAGTAGTACTAAGATAAACTGTTAAAACTGTTTGATGGTAGAATGCTGGTCAGAATTTTTGTTTAGAGATTATTTATCTGAATGCTCTCTCACATAACTACTCTCACTTCCATAGATATAGTCCCCCCACTAAAGTATTGTCATATGAGTTTGAAATTTTGTACTAACATGAAGAGAGAGTATTCCATTTCAAACTTCTGAAAGTTTTCCAGATTTACTTTCAGATAGGTAATAAAATATTAAAATTTCTGTTTGTATGGTGTCTAGAGTCAGTTTAGTTTTACTTCACCGTATAGTAACCTAAACTCAAAACACCATAGATATTATATACACTTCATCATTATAAGATACCAGATGGTATTTCTTCGGTTTTCTGTACCAAAGATGTGGTGATGAGCCTTGAATAGGCAAAACTGCAGTCCACAGCAGAGGGTATGGCCAATCAAAGAATGCATTAGGCCTCTGTGTCACAGATTTTCTTTTCAATTTCACCTCCGGTGAAAATGAAAGAAATCTTTAACATGTATGTACAAAATTTCTGTTTGTTCTCTAATATACATAAAAATAAACCTGGCACTGGGAGAGTTATCTATAAATGTGGGAGGGAAAGAGCTAACAAAAGAATAAAACAAACCATTCTGATACATATTTTTATGCAATAAAACTTTGTGAAAATTCAAGCTATCTTTCGATATGATACCTTACCTCCTCACACATAATAGCTTTTCTTGTCAATTACTGTGCCAAATTGAGAAGTAAAGATTGGGTTCTACAGTATTGAGGGAGTCAGCTGTGACAAGTGTGTGTGTTGCATTCCTATTGGTGGAGGGATGCCACATGATTATTTGCATGCTATAACACAAAGTTACAACATTAAATATGTGGGGTAGGTGAGAGTATCAAGGCTATTCTGAAATGTTTGAACTCACTGTTAGTGCAAAACACTAGGCAAACATGAGCAAAAAAGACTAAAAACAACTAAGAAAGTTGTTTAACAAATCATACTGTGCCAAATTGAGAAGTAAAGATTGGGTTCTACAGTATTGAGGGAGTCAGCTGTGACAAGTGTGTGTGTTGCATTCCTATTGGTGGAGGGATGCCACATGATTATTTGCATGCTATAACACAAAGTTACAACATTAAATATGTGGGGTAGGTGAGAGTATCAAGGCTTAGATCAAACATTTCAGCATTTTGCTCATGTTTATGTAGTATTTTGCATTAACAGTTTGATTTGTTAAACAACTTTCTTAGTTGTTTCTAGTCTTTCTTAACAATTTTTATTTGCTTCTACAGTGAGACTCGATACTGTAGGTTGAAATTTCATTAACTACTTTCAGTTGAATTTTGATTTCCAAATTTCAATTCACAACAATTACTACTGTTGTTTCATACTTCCACTGCACTTCAGCCTGCTGTTTCTTAAGCTTTGGGCTTCGTGCTTTCTGCTGAGGAGGTATTGATTTTTCAGGCATCATGAGTTGGGTCCATAATGTGGACTGTTGTTTCTCCTGATTATAGATGAGATTTTCTTTTTTCTGGAGGTCCTCCACAGGAAGAGGCCAATTTGAATAGCCTGTTTCCTCCTTCCTTCCTTTGCTATGCAATCCTGATTTTCCTACTGTGGAAGCTCCCAGACTGTTGTCACAGGTATGTTACCTTTGGTCTAGATCCCTTGTGTCTAATGGTTCATCTCCTTCCCTCTTGAATTCTGCTTCTTCCTTGGATTATCTAGTTTTTTTTCCTTTTCTACAAATCATGGTATATGCATACATGTTACTGCACTATTATGTTCTGGAATTAGCCTGCTTCATACTCTTTGTCTTTCTGATACCTATGAATTAGTGTACCATCATTTTGATTTTCCAGTTATGGACTCTCAACCTTGGATTTTTTATTCCAGTATGGAAATCTGTCCCTGATACTACTGTGAAATATTTCCCAGGCCCAAATTTCCCATCTTTGTTTAATCCTAACCAACCTCTTGCATTACCTCTCCTCTATCTATCTCATATTCATGGCTTATCCAACACTCCCCTGAGGGGATGTTGGAGGATACTTGCTACTTCATATGTTCCATGGTGGGATGCTTGTTTTTTCTCAGCCCTTTCCACACATCCTTGACTCCTATGTTTTTGAGATATCCTGGGTGGGCACACACTTTTAGCTAATGTGCACCAACTCACATCTTATTCTGGGTCTTTGGAGATTTTCCTAACTCAGTGGTGTACAGGATGAAGGCTACTCATCAACACTCCTCCCTTTCCTCCTGGGTTTCTTGTATTCTATGGTAGTTGCCTGATCCCCCTTCCTATTTTCCCTCCCCCTTCTATCCTTTTTCCTGTCCCCTTCTCCTGTGTTTAGATGGCTCATCTTCCAATTTCTCATCACCGGGTACCCCACTGTGAACAATACTGGTAAGTATACCATAGGTTCTGGCAAGTTTGGAGCACATTTGGTCAGGTTTATGCACATATAGTGTAATTTTGCCTCAGCTTCTTAGATACTTCAAGGGTATCTGAAGGACTTTCCATTTGTTTTATCACTCCACCTTCCTTATCCTGATATCCTATTCCTTCCCCTCCTTTTTGGGAACTGGTTTTCTTGCCAGTGTTTTTATTTCAGACTATTCTTATCAAGGATGCTACGTTATCCACTTGAGAGAATTCTTCAATTCCTATCTCAGCTGTGCCCAGCCTTCTCCTATACTGTTGAAGTGATGGAGCTCTTGGTTCTCAACTCTCAATCCTGTCCTTCTCTTACTACATGTGAGGATCTGTCTCTTTTGGGGCCTTGGGCTTTCATGGCAGCTCTCATTCTCCTGAGTCATGCTCACTTGCATGCATTTGAAGGGGGTGTTGCATGATAAATGGAATCTTGCTCAGGATCCCCTGGACTCATTTCTCTTTCTCCCTCCCTTATGACATGTCTATTTATTCTGGTGGATTAAACGAGATCAACACCATGGTGGACATTCTTCATCTGCTTCCCTGTTCCAGATAGCATTTTGTTTTATAGACATTTCTCTATCTAGTTGGGGAGCGATTCTGCATTCTCTGGAAATCACTTTCTTTGGTCGATTAGGCTCTGCACATCAATGTTCTACAGCTTTGGATCATTTCCAAATTTTTGTACTGGACAAATTGGTCATGATCTATTTTGACATTTTGACTGTTGTGTTTTCTGTCAGTTGACAATGGAGCACCCATAAGTGTTTGCTTTGTTTTCAAATATCAGAACTCCTATTCTGGGCCCATTCACATCTTGTATACATAATAGGGTGTCATGTTCTGGGTGCTCTGAATCTTGTTGCAGATTGATTGTCTCATCCCAACAAGATTCTCCCCACAGATTCATCCCTGATTCCTGAGGTGTTTTGATGGTCATGTGCCCAGTGGATTACACCACTTCTAGATGCATCAGCCACCCAAATCAATTCCAAGCCAACCTTTTTTTAGTTCTTTGGTTTCACATCCTTTGGCTTTGGCAATAGATGCTTTCAGTGAGGATTAGTCCATCCTCTGCTTTTATGCATGTTCTCCTTCCTTGAATTTGTCTATTCCCCATACTTTTCCGTGTCTAGTACATTTCATTGTACTTTTCTGGCTTGCTCAGTTTTGTTTCCTGACTTTATCCTATTTCAGGCTTCTCCATTACCGTTCCTTTTTCCTGCTCCCTGTTTCAATAACCTTGATCATTTGCATCATTTCACCATTACCACACTTCAGCTTCATGCATGGCATTTGTTTGGACCATTGTGAGGAAATCTGGACTCTCCACATGTGTAGCAACCCTTCTTTGCTATTCAGTCTGTCCTTCATCCTTACTGATGTATTAGAATAAATGACATATTTTTCACTGTTAGTCTCTGTGCCATGGTTACTTCCCTTTGTGTCCTAATGTGCTTAACACATTTCAGGTAATTTTTATCGCTGCACCTATGTTTCTCCTGTATCCAGATTGCAGTTTTTCCCAGAACATTGGTAACTGTGGAATGTCACATCACATTCACAACTATATTTGTGCATTCTATTTCCAATTTCTATTTCAGGTCGTGTTCTCTGGTGCTATATTGCCTACATGACTTCCTTCCATGATTCCTGTTCTCACCTGTTTATCCATTGGAATCCTTCCTTTACTCAAGATATTTCTCCTATTAACCTTATGGGTTGTATTTGCCTGCTTATGGGGTTGGCTTATTGCTCCTTTTTTTCCTGTCTCCTAATGTCCTTTTTGGGTATCCTTGCATCAGATCCAGCATTTCACCCTCTCACTTCCATCGCTCGTTAGGGGAGATCATCCAGGCTTGCATGCGGATCATGGCACACACCTTCATCTCTCATTAACCTCATCATGTGACTGTTTTCTCCTCATCAGGATACCGAATACCACCCCATTGCCATCCCCCATAACTCGGTTCAACTGTGAGTGGGTGTTTTTATATTTCGTTACAGTGGCCCAATTTTACATGTTGGATCCTGCTCTGTGATGAGTGGTGCCTATACAGGTATACTCAACCTTAAATCTGCACTCTATGATCTTTCAGGTCTATAACTCCTACTGTTGAGATGGTATGTTCCACAGGACTGCTAGTAGGTTTATTCTCACTGTATATTGCATCATATATATGCCTGTTTCTGACCTTACCAACTCATGAGTAAAGCAGTGTCAGGATTGATGCTCATCCCTCTGGTCCTGGTTGTCTAAATCGGAACTGGCATGCTTTTAAAAATAGGGTTTTGTGGTCACATAGGTGTGTACCTCTACCAAGAGATGTTACGCTACATGGATGCTCTTCAGATGCTTTCTGAAGGGCACTTATCTCGATAAATTGTGCACTGCTCCTTCCATCATGTCAATGTGAGTTTCTAGCTATTATGTAGAAGAGGTAAGGTGTCATATTAGAAGTTAAAATTTCCCTACACTGAAGATATATTTCTGATAAACACTTACCTATGTTCACACTTTCCTCCCTACCTCTCCACTTCCTGTGCCTTTTTTTTGCCTAATCATGAAGTGAAGGTTGAGTTCTACAGTATAGAGGGAGCTAACTGCAACAGGAATGATACACCTATTGGTGGAAGGTTGTTGCATGATTCTTTGCATGCTACAATGTAGCTGTACCATTTTAAACACATGGGGTAGGTGGGAGTATCAAGGCTAGTGGTGAGTGAAATATTTGTGTATGTAGAGGGCAGAACTGAATGAAGAAAGTTTTAACATTGGAAGCTATGTATATATAGTAAAACTGCTCCATAAGTTAACAGATGTTAGAACTGATTTACAATAGATCTGCATCTAGATTTAGATCTAGAATGAAGAAAGTTTTAACATTGGAAGCTATGTATATATAGTAAAACTGCTCCATTAGTTAACAGATGTTAGAAGTGATTTACAACAGACCTGCATCTAGATTTACAGATGTTCAACTTAGGTTTCCTTACCAGCATGGAATACCTAAATATTATCATCACTAGACTCTATTTCTTTTCAAATCTAAACAGCATACTCTAAATTAGGCCCAAAAATGCTTTTTTTTTAAAATCTTAACTTGTAGTGTAAAAAAAAAAAGGAACATTTTTTTTTCAGCCAGAAAATCAATGAAATCAAATTCTAATTTGCAGTCACATCTAAATGTTTTTTTCCTTGAGTATAATTCAAATTTGTTCAAATTTTCATCATTTTTATTTTTGATCATTTACTGACCATGGCTCAAATCATATTTAATTAAAAAGTAAATAACTACATCACAGGTTCTTCTAAGTCTAAATGTCATGAACTAATTTAGATACAGCAAAGACTACAAGAATGTCCCAAAGTACTAACACTAACACTGGTGTATAGGTAGTATACTAATACATGTTAGTTTGTACTCAACTGTTAGACATTTTAACTCATAGTGGAGATTTTAGTGTACATTTGGAATTTTCTAAAATTTGCTTCAAGAATTAGTTTCTATGAAGGAAAAATATGAGAACATTTTAGAGGTGAATAATTTTAAATTTTATTCAGCAATTGAAGAAGGAACTTACTGCCAAACTGAAGTTGAAGCCACATAAAATCAAAATACTTGGAAATAATGCTAAATTTGCTTTTGTGACATTTCGGTAAGTTTAAAAAGCTGATCAATTTCAGTATATTAGTCTACTTCTATTCAGTAATAAACTTGCTTAATTTTTTATAATTTATTTTTGTTTTTTACCCATTCTGTGTACATTTTTATGTTGAAATAAGTTAATGAAAATTTTTTTGATCAGCTTGATTTTATGATTTTTATCTGTATTTGCTTCTTCAGTCCAACAGAAATATATATAAACTGAACTTTTAGTAAGAGAAAACCATCACAGTTTGGTAATATACAGTGCACACATGACTACAATAGGTGTACTTTATGTATCTGGACTAAACAGCTCTAAACTATATATTTTTGTAGTATAATCAAAGGTAAACCCACCGTTTCACTTGTGGTGGTAAAATGCACTTGTAACTGTTGTATCTGTTTGAACTTATTTTACATGTCAAGCAGTAATGCCACAGAATATAATGCAATTAATGTTATATTTTGTGATTTTGAAGAGATTTTTGTAAAAGTTATGTTTAAAGAAAAATGTCAACCACCACCACCAGCATTTTATTGAAAAGTGAGTGATTTATTCAACTGGCCATGCATTCTGTTTTGAAAAACATGAAAAATACTATCACACAATAAAAACAAAATGCTTTAAATTAAAAAAATTATCAAGTATGTTACCTTGCATATAAAAATATGAATTTAAGTTTTGGTACAATTAAAAAAATTTGTTTTGAAGCAGAAACTTGATATAAATTTGATAAGTTTATTCTTTCTGTGGGTGAATTTGACCCATTTGGAAGTGTGCAACTGTGTACTATAACTCTGAACTTCATGAAATTTGGTAAGCTTTTAGTAAACATAACAAGTCTGTTGTATACAAAAAAGCTGATTTTTTTAAAATAAAGTATTTATACTAAAGTCTTGTCTGTGAATTTATTAAGCCTTTACCAAGTCAGTCTGATTGAAAGTTAATTTTCAAGCTAAGAATAAAAATACTTCTTTTCATCTTACTATTTTTATGGTTTTATTGCCTGTACTTTTGACCATTGTCCTCCATCAAAAGCAATAAATCACAGCAGGAATCCATTAGTCATTTTTCATAAACACCATGAGCAAAGCTCATGACTCATGTGAACTTTGCACAATTTAAGCACCTGTACTAGGACTCACTTTTTTTTCTAATTCAGTTGTTCCAATAAAAATTCATATAGTTTTCAGATATGTATTTTAGAACACCAGATATATTTGGCACTATAATAGATTGTTCCAAAACAACTTTAATGTATCTGGCTTTCTAAATATACGAGAAATAGGTTTAAAAAATCTTTAAGTGCTCAAAGCAAAGAAGTATCATCACCAAAACCAAATACTTTCATTACCTAATAGTTTGTGTGTGAAATCTAAATGATGGTTCTCTAAAGTTTTATAAGAAGAGAAAATGCTTTTTCTATATGATACTAGTATGTCCATCAGCCTTATAACAGCTTGTAAACTGTGACTTCTTCACAGTTTCTTTTTTCTTTAACCATTGTTTCCGTAGTCTATGTTCTGTAGTTTTCTTTCTGTCTCAACAGTGAACAAATAAAGAGTTGATATGCACATTAGTAGTAAAGGCACTACTTGTAGAAGCACTTATGGAAAAGTTATATCTACGTGTGCCTGTAGATATCATTTTCTGTTTTAAATTTATAAGTATTTCTGGTGTTCTTAACTCTTTTGCTACTGACTCAGTGGATTACACTGACCATGTGACCACTATAACTTTCAACATGTTTTGTGTACTTTCATGACATTTTTCAACCTTTTAGTAAACATTACAAATGCTTTATAGACAAAAAGATCAGATTTTTTAATTATGTATTGTTTGTAAAAATATGTCTGTGAATATATGGAGTCAGAGTATGGACTGTTCTGAATGCAAAGTGATTTTCATGTTAAGATTAAAAATACTTTATCTGAAAATTTTCAAATTTCATTGCATAATCTCTAAGACCTCCTAAATAATTATCAAATAATTTTTTTTTCAGAAAACCTCTATATTTTGTCTGTTATTTTTTTATCCTAAATCTATGTACAGTCATTTAATTTGACCAAATTCATAAAACTTTAAAGGTGGAAAAATGTGAAATAAACTGAGTAGTACTACTCTGTCATCTTTAGCATTGACCACAAAGTTCCAAGGTACTTCCCTTTAAAGTTTCTACTTCTAACCTTTTGACATCTATTTCCTATGATTATTTTACTGTTAGTGACTGAAGTAGAAACCTGCCAATCATAAAGCATTTAATTCTGCCCTTTGACTGTTTACATGATCTTGTAATACAACACAATTAACAAAACTTTCCTACAAAGTTTATCGTAATCTAAGAACATGGTAAGAGAAGATTTATCAGCTTTTTATTACTATAAAAAGTGGTTGCAACAAAAATTGTCTAAAGTAATAAAACTTAGAAATGTTTATTATATGGCTCTGTACATAGTCTGGGCCAATCCAATAAATTTAGTAGGTATTTAGGTGTTAATTATTCTTCCAGGATGGTCATAAATTAGTTATATAAGTATACAAAGTGTATAGGTGCTTATAAATATGTATATATATATATATATATGTATTGTTAATATTTATTCATAAATTCTTAATTTTTAGTATTTTCTTAAAACATAACTCAATAGTTAAAAGATATATAAAAAAACAATGATTTGTAACACTTACGATGTTACAAAATTGATTTGTACATGCTAAGCCTTGCTGTAAGTCTAGTTTATTCTCTCAAGTGAAGGGGGAAGACAAATTAATTTTTATAGATTTCAAAAATGCATTTTAGGAAATAAAAAAATTATCAAATAACAATACTGTTACACATAAAACCATTTTAATTTATCTGGATTTCTAACTAAGCTATATGCAGGTTAAAAGAAATCTCATTTTTGTTCAGAGCAATGACTTACTCAGTAGACTTCAAAATTTCTAGTCAAACACAAGTTTCCCCTTCAGATCAATTATAAATGACTCAGTTTTACGTAGTTTGGAATGTACTCTTTCTGTTGGTTATAAATGCATACTTAAGAAAAGTAGGTGTGAGTAGACAAGAGGTTTCAAAGGAATGAAGTAGTGGGAAGGGCTACCCTCATAGGTTTGCAAAATATATTGATGTCTCAGCAAATCAATAAAGTGGCAGATTCTTATTTTATATTCTAACTTGTCATTGTCTGAAGTTTGAGTTTGCAATTCATAAAACAATATAGATGTTGTATAGTAGGCGTAATAAAATATAAACTGAGCAAGAAGACATGCCATATGACACGCAAAAAAGCATATTTGGTACTTTTTAAAAATATTTTACTTTTGATTTACAAATTAAAACGTATATAATATCAATATTTGAATTATAATCTATGTTTTGATGCCATTTTTATTGACAAACAATGATAATAAAGTTGTTTAATTAGATTTTGAAAATAACCCTCTAAAACATCATTATGTGACCTTTGACCTGACCATTGAGAGGATTAACTTGAATTGTTTATAACATAATTTCAATATTTGTCTATGTCTCCTTTTTCATTATGCAAAAATGTTTTGAATGTTTCTAGTTTCTTGTTCTCAAGTAAATACATTTGGTACCCAGTTATCATTTTTTTGTAATAAATTATATCTTTTTTATATTAATATTCTCAAAGCTCTCACTCTGTCATTTTGTATATATTTGTTTGATTTTATGTTTCTAGATGATGTTCATTATTTTTTACTTTAAGCCTTTGAAAAGTGTATACAAACATTTGACATTAAAGTTATTCTAATTAATCAAATTCAATGTTTTTTTTTATTCCATGTACCAGTTTTTTTTTCTTGTTCATAATTACTGTGTGGAATAAGTTTGTAAGAGATTGTCTTAGCTCTTTATTTTTTGTTTCATTGCTCTAATCCATATTATCAGTTATTATGAATTATAAGGATTATGTTATTTTCTGAGTCTTATTTATCCATTATGGATTATGGATAATCTTGTATTTGATCACATATGGTGAAGATTTTTTTTGTAATTTGGTGACATGGTTAGAGGTGTTTTTGATTGCTGATACCAGATTCAGTTTGTTACAACCTTACTCACACGTGGTGAACAGGTTTTAGTAACATTTTTTTTACTAAAAGGATGTTTTTTTCAGAATTCCTTTGCACATGAGAATATGTGTATATAACTGTTCATATACACATTATAGAAGAGGGTGTATTGTTATTTAACACACGAAAGGCTTGCTGTGATAGTGTTCACATATAATAAATATGTTTTTTACTGTTTCACACATGATAAGCTTGTAACATTGTATATATACATCTATGGTGAAGGACTTTTGTGATTTCTCTTGTGGTGTAGGGTTTGTTGAAGCATCTCAATAATGATGGAAGATTCTTGTGACCTTGTTTCCTCAAGATAATGGGTTTGATCAATCTTTGTTAACATAAGTTGAAAAAATTGCTGTTATTTTGTTCCCACATAATGGGGGTTTGATTAGGCTTTACTAACACCTGATATGATAGATGATATCATGCTTGTAATATCTAGGTCACAACTGTGTAGCAGTTCAACATATAAAATGTATTGTAATTTTCTGGTTAGCAAATTTGTCCAAAGAGTAGCACTAGTGCTTTTTTGAACTTGCATAGTTTGCCTTGTTAAGAAAGGGCTTTAGACAAAAGGCTTCTTAAAAATCGAATACTCAGAAAGTAATGAAAAATCAAAAACAAAGTGACAATCAGAACTTAAAATATAACATTTTTGGAATAAGTAATAATATTTGAAAATATGGGAGGTAACAAAAAATTTGGCAATCACAATTTCCATAATTTTTTCCATTCTGAAAATGTAGTTGTGAAGAAGACAGAGAGGAGGCTTTAAAAAAACTCCAGGGCCATAGTTTCAAAAAACGAGAATTAAAAGTAAAAGTAAGTTCAGCTACAGTATAATTTATTTTCATTTATGAATATTGTAGTTAATTATCATATATTTTACTAATCATTACATGCAGAAACCTTTGATGAGATGAGAAATATTTTAACAATATGTTTGTTGCCTGATGCACAAAATTGTTTTTTTTTTTCCTTTTACTTCAGTAAAATTTTAGGTTAAACTATCAGCAGTTATTACTATTGTTTATTATAATATCTGAAGGATATATCAAAAATACTGTTTATATTGATCGGTATAGGCCTATTTATAAATGAGCTAAAGTTTCATATTAATCTGGTCCAGGACAGTAAATCCCATAAATTTTTTAATCTAAGAAAAAAAATCATAAATTAATATAAAATTCAGCATTCTAACCTTATCATTTATAGAAAATTGATAGATAAAACTAAAGCAATCATAGATGGATGAAGACATAATATACAAAGCAAGTTATGTATAAATCTGAAAACATAAAAGATGGATGTAACCATCAACTTTCTACTGAAGTGATGAGTAGAATGCTTTAAAGTTCACGTTTTATGTATTTAATAAATAATTGTTGTTTAATATAACAGTTTTTAAAATATTAAAGAATTATAATTCTCTGGTTGTAGGGGAATATTAAGTAAAATAGTATACTGTGTACTTGCAGATGTAAGATCATTGAATTGCAAACATTATTGTTATATTTTGGTACTGTAGAAGGCAAATCCTATAGCAGATCCTTTGGTGAAGAAAAGAAAGTTGCATGAGAATAACGATAGAATAAAAAAAAAACAGCTCAAGGAAGAAGAACCTAATATTCCTGTAGCTCTAAGGTAGGAGATTTTTTTTGCAGTGTTTAAACTGTGTATTTGAATATTTTATTTGTTCAGTGGGGAATTGATATCCATTAATCCTCTTGCTACTGACTTGGTAGATTACACTGACCTTGTGACCACAAAATGACCATCAGAGCTTTAATATATAACTTTTAACCTGTTTTATGTATTTTCATCAAGTTGTTCAAGCTTTTAGTAAACATTACAAGTGTTTTGTAGACCAAAAAATTTGTATTTTTTTAAGTATTTTTACTAATTTGTTCTTGAATTTATAAAGTTAGACTGTTGAAAGCTTTGAGTGAAAAGTGATTTTCAATTTAAGATTAAAAATGCTTTTCCTTATCTAAAAATTATCAAATTTCATTTCCTTAATCTCTAAAACCTCCTAAATAAATATCAAAGGTTTTTTTTTCACTAAGACTTTATATTTTATCTGTTATTATCTCTACTCTAACTCTGTACACATTTGGTCAGTTTGACTAAACTAGTAACTACCATAATAAAAAATGTGAAATAAAATTAGTAATGTTGCTGTATCCTTTAGAATATTGACCACGAAATTCCAAAGTACTGCTGAGAGTTTCCACTTCTGTTTCCTATGTTTATTCTGCTATTAGCAGTTTAAGTAAAAACCTGCTGAACATAAAACAATGAATCACCACTTCTGCCATTAGACTGTTGACATGACACCATAATATGACACTTTCAATAGCAAATAAACATGTGCAGTGCAATAAGTAGATGTTTCTTACAGAGTTTATTGTAATCCTGACTCCAAAAACACAGTGGGTGAAGATTTATTGGGTTGTTTACAGTACAGTGGTTACAACTAAGAATTGTCTAAAGTAATAAAAGTGCGATGAAATGTTTATAATATGGCTGTGTAAAAAGTCTGGGTCGATCAAATGAAGTTGGTATGTATTTGGATATTATTTATCCTCTGAGTGGTTGGAATTTAACAGTATATGTATACAAAGTGTGTAAATACTATGAACATGTATATATGTTATTACCATTTATTCATAAATGCTTAATTTTTAGTTACTTCTCCTAAAACATAAAACAATAAATAAAAAATATGTAGAAAAACTGATATCTAATACTTACGATGTTACAAAATCGATTGTACTCATGTTGTACTTAGTAAGCCTTGTCATAAGCCTAGTTTATTCTCTGAAGTTGAGGGGAAAACAAGCCCCTGCCTCTCCTAAGGAATCAGCCAGGCCCCCTCAGCCTTTTCAGGTATGTTACCTTTTATCTCTATACCAAGTTTTGTGTCCTACCCTTTCCCTGTTACACACCACACATTGTCTAAGTACCTTGTTTTTCCTCCTTCTCCAAATAGCAGGATTCATGCTGATCATTTCCTGTCTCAATTGGGAGCAGGGATCAACATGACCCAATCACCACAGGCTTCAGATAATTATGTCTTGGCTTACCATCAGGCTAATTTTCCTTTTCTGGACTCTTAACAGCTCGAGTTTTGTCTGCCCATGTGGAATGGCTGACTCTGGGAGTTCTGTGAGATTCTCCCAGGCCCAGTTTCTCTGCCTTCGTCTTATGCATAATTCTCTCCTTTAGTACCTTTCATCCATCCACCTCCATTCTGAGGTTATCCAACATTCTCCTGAGGAATTTTCAGAGGATATTCATATCCTAATGGCATGATTGTCCTCCTCTGCCCTAGGCACAGCATGGCCAGGTGGTTAGGGTCATGGGTTTGAATCTCTGCCACACCAAACATGCTCGCCCTTTCAATTGTGGGGGCATTATAAGGTGATGGTAAATCCCAGTATTCATTGGTAAAAGAGTAGTCCAAGAGTTGGTGGTGGGTGGTGATGACTAGCTGCCTTCCCTCTAGTCTTACACTGCTAAATTGGGGACATCTAGTGCAGATAGCCCTCATGTAGCTTTGCGCGAAATCCATAACAAACAACAAATCTCTGTCCTATCCTTTCACATGAGGCTATTTTGCTGCTGCACTCTTCTAGATGGGATCATACTCTTGCCTCAGGTGCACCTGCCATCCTCTTATTTACATGACCTTCAGGTGGCCCCCTTTTTTTTGAGATATTCCTGAATCTTTGAAGTTGTGTATGGAATCTGCAAGACAACACTCAACCCTTCTTCTTTGGCTGCTCGTTTATCTCAGCCCACTTTCAGCCCTTGCCTTTTCTCTTATTCTGAGGTCCTTCACTGCTGCCAACGGTTCTGGTGACTATCTGGTGGGTACTGGCCCAGTGGAGGCTTGTTTGTCTTGTTTTGTTCACCTGTTGCAAGATTTCACTCCAGACCCATGGGTGAGCTGGACTTTTTCTCTAGCTCCTCTCCACACCTCCCTAGTCTCCCAATCCTGTGTCTTTCCCTATTCTTTGGGATCTCACTACTTGCCAGTGTCTTTCCAAGGTGGTTCATAGTCTTCTCTCGCAGCATGCTATATAGCCTGTCAGTTTTCCTTTTCTGTAATTTTACTCCAGGCTTACCTTGACACCTTATGCCTTTTGTTGGGTGGTCAAGGCTTTTGCCCGACTTATGTGTGCTCAGGGTCTGCATTTCATTCATTCCATGGATGACTGGCTTCTGTTAGCTCCTTCTGAACTTGTAGCGTCTCACCTCACTCACCTGCTTTTAACCAAAGCAGCTTTTGTGAGTTGGATTATAAAGATGGAGAAGTCTTTCCTTATACCTACCCTATATTTTATATACTTGGGGTTGTTTTTCAACACCTACCTCAGTCAGACCTAACCTTCTCCCAACTGTCTAAATTAATCGAGCTTTCAGTTTTTCATGCCCTTTCCTCTCCCTCACTTTCTGCATGTCACTTTTGGGGAAGCCCTTATTCCCTTGGTTCATGCACATATGCATTCTATTCAGTGGATATTGCTCGGGCCAATGGAATATTACTTGGGGTCCCTTACACACCTCCATTACCCTCCCTCCTTCTGTTCTGGATGATCTCTGTTGATAGTTGGACAGAGACAACACTACAGTGGAGTACCACTTCCTCCTTCTAATCTGAATTTGCATCTGTTCATCGATGCTTCTCTCTGGGACTGGGGGATGTGGGTTGACCATCAGGAGGCTTCTGGACAGTGGTCTCCAGTCAGACAATACTTTTATATCAGCATCTTGAAGCATCTGGCAGTATATTGTACTATGTATCTTTTCCTTCCCTTTGATCTTAAAAAAATTTTTGGATCCATTCCGACATCTCCGCTGTTGTCTCGTATATCAGTTGCCAGGGAGATAACTGTTCTCGTTTGCTTTGTTCTCAGACATTGTAACTCCTTTATTGAGCCCACATGCTTTTTATACATCTCATGGCGTGTCATATCCTGGGTGCCGTCAACTTCGTGGCAAACCATCATTCCCTACCTGATCCAGTTTATTCCATGGAGTGGTTCCTTGATTCTCAGGTTTACAAGTGGCTCTGCACTAGATGCTTTTGCCACTTGCTTCAATACCAAATTACCTCTCTTTTGGTTTCCAATTCCTCATCCCTAAACCTTGGCTGTGGATTTTCTCAGTCAGGATTGGACTAACCAGTACCTATATGCCTACTCCCCAATTCTTCTCTTTCCCAGGGTAATTTTAATTGTCCAATCCACTCTGTATCAGGTCTGTACTTCTTGTTGCTCCTCATTTCTACTTCTCCTTCATTACATCTGCCTCTGATACCATCCCTCTTTTGTCAACCTTGGTCACCGGTCCTTCACACATAGCATTTCCCTGGTCCCTTGCAATGATATCTGGTTTATCCATGTGTGTAGCATCTTTTGTGTCCATTTCTGTTCATCCTTTCTCCCTCACAGTTTATCATTGGAAGTGGAAGGTCTTCCACCATTGATCACTGTGCCATGGAGTTTTTCTTTCATGTCCCACTGTCATCACCTGGCTGTTCTTTCGTGGTACTTCTATTTCATATATTGTGGGTTATCGTGTAGCTTTGTCCAATATCTTCCATTTTTACAGGTACTGTTCTGTGTTTTTCTGTCCTACCATTTCCCTGTTATTGCATTTCTTCCAGATTAGTTGACCTTCATGTTGGGTGGTCATTTGAGATTTAAATGTCAGTATTGTTCATCACTACCTTACCCTCTTTCCATTTGAGCCTGTGGCCTCCTGTTCCATGTATCACCTATCTTATTTCCTACTCCTCT